AGCCTGGATCCCGTGGACTCTGAGCCTGAATCCCGTGGCCTGCCCATGTGACCACACTGAGCCTGGATCCTGTGGCCTGCCCACATGACCACTCTGAGCCTGGATCCTGTGGACCCTGAGCCTGGATCCTGTGGCCTGCCCACATGACCACGCTGAGCCTGGATCCTGTGGACCCTGAGCCTGGATCCCATGGCCTGCCCACATGACCACACTGAGCCTGGATCCTGTGGCCTGCCCACGTGACCATGCTGATCCTGGATCCTGTGGCCTGCCCATATGACTACAGCAGCAATATCACTCCCACCGAGCTCAGCACCCCACTGTCACTCGCCCACCATGTGCAGGGCAACTGGAGGCCCAACCAGCCAAGGATCACAGCCCCATGGGCCACTCTGAGGGACCACTCTCCCTGGACCCTAATGCCACATTCCAGAAGCCCCTGGGCAGATGGAGCCAAGCCCAGCCTCAGTTTCACAGTCCCAAGAGCTCTGCTGTCTCTTCCCTGCCCCCTCAGCCCTCACTCGCTGCTGACCAGGCGGGGCTCCTTGTAGCCTCCCTTGGGGACAATCCTGGGACCAGGGAGACAACTTTAGGTGCCAAGAGTGTGCGGGGCTACCTGCCCTCCGGCTTTTCGTGCCGGCACAGGGGACCCTGTCTCCTACTGGCCCTCCAGGGCAGACTCGGGGTCACGGCGGCCGTGGGAACCACATGTCCCCATGAGCCCTCAGACTCCAGCCTCCCAGGCAGCCTGTGGCAGCACTGGGCCGTGACCCTGCCAGCCTGCTCGGGAACCACATTCCTGTGCCACCTTCTCACACCAGCAATGGATTTGCAAGGAAGCCTGTGAGCACCAGACCTGCTGGACCTGAGCTCTCGGATGAACACCCAAGGGCCAGCAGGCCTGGGACCAGGGACCACCAGCTGCCCGCTGGGAGTGATTCACAGCGTTGACACGGGCATAGGTTGGGGGGGCAGCCCCCTCGCCCAGCCCTACCCCCACTGTCTGAATTCTGTTCTGTCTCCCTCGTCTTCCACACCCTCCTTGGGAACCCCTGCATCTGGGCAGACCTCAGCAGCCCTGCGAGACCCCTCTGTCCAGCACAGAGTTTTCCTTAGACGCTTCTGCACTGATCCCTTCCCAACGTCCTGTGGGAGCCCCCCTGGACTCTCTGACCAGTCCTGCCCAGTGATCTCAGCATCGACCCTTGTTTGTTGCTCACACTCGGGTGCAGCTGGAGACCCCGGGGGACCAGGCTGGCTCCAAAGCTCAGTGATGACACTCTGGAGACCCCGCGCCTCGTCCGGCTGGGCTGGGGGTATGGCTGGAGGGGACGAGGGCAGCACTGAGTGTTGGGAGGGGAAGGAGAAGAATGAGCAGGCATGGGAGACGTGCTTGATGGGGGTCAGGCTGGATGGTGGGAGGGCGGAGGGCATGGGCACTGCAGGGCTGGGGCGGGAAGGGGCCAGGCTAGCAAGGCGGGAAATGCCGGGATGGGCCAGGTGCCTGCCCAGAGACTGGGAGATGGAACTCCAGTCAAAGCAAAGGGTCTGTGAGTCGGGGGTGCTTGGTGGAGGTGGAACCTGTTGGGGAGCGGGTGAGGGGCTCTGGTCTCCCATCTGCCTGGGTTTGGCTCCCAGGATCCAGGGCTGAGCTGACTCTGGGCCCTCCGTTAGGTTTGGGAAGAACTGAACCCACAGCTCTGGTGTGAGGCCTGGTGCCCATCAGCATGCTGAAGACCTCTGAGAGGCCCTGAGCTCCCCATGAACCCCCGAGTCTCTGCAGTCTCCGTGACATCAGGGCCAGGGCCGGGTCTGTCTTGATGACCCAAAGGTCCCCGGCCTCAAAGAATCAGAGCTGCCAAAGCAGCGGGGGGAGAGGGTGGTGGTGGTGGGGGGTGGGCTCGGTTTCCAAAATGGGGGGGCAGAATGTCCTGGGAGGAGCCAACAGGGCTGCCACAGAACACCCCCCTCCAACATGCAACGTGTGTGGGGGTCCGAGGGTGATCCTGCGGTGGGTGACACGGAGTCCTTAGCCCTCAGGGCTGTGCCCACTGGCAGCAGTGCAGAAAACCTGCCAACAACAAACCAGTTTGTTTTTAGTGTCGGATAAGCTGCACCTGTTTTGTCCCAAGGACAAGAGGCCAGGGAGGTCCGGTGACGCACTGTGGTTCACACAGGCTTCGGGCTTGGGGACCTCGGGGGCTCAGGGCTCACCTGGGCCCAAGCCCAAGAAAGGGTTTTTGCTCACCTGGGTCAGGGGTCCTGCTTCCCTGCCTCTGCCCCCGCCGGCTCGGAAACGCTTTCCCAGGCCTCTCATTGGTGGCGCGGGGAGCCACGCGCAGCCAATCACCGTGCCCCCGGGAATCCTGGGGATGACTGGCCACACCTGAGCTTCACCTCCCCCGGGCTTGGCTGCAGCAGGTGTGACGGAACCACAGGGTGGACAGTGTGGTCAGTCACAACCTGACCTCGTTCTGGACGGTCAGGCGGCGACCGCAACCAGGGCAACCCAGTGACTCAGGTGACGGTCATCCCCCCGCCCCCTCACCCCAGGGGCCTGTTCCACCGCAGATCAGCAGTGCAGGGCCTGGGACAGGAGCGCTTGGGGACGGCCACCCGCAGGGTCCACCCCAACGCTGCCCTCCTCCGGGGCGGCTCTCTTGGAGTCCACGCGCTGTGTGGGAGGAGGAACAAAAGGAAGAGCTCAAGTTTTGGGGATAGCCGATGGCCAGCGTCACACCAGGGGGGTCCCCGGGGGTGCCCTGGGGCAGGCTCTGGAGCGCATGGCTGCGCGTCCTGGGCACGCGGACCCCTGTGGCTGGCAGGCATGACAACCCCGGGTTATCTGCGAGGTCCCTTCTGGCTGGCCGCGCGGGGTCAGGACTTCTGCCCGGACGCCACCGGGCCCCCGCGCCCACGGCCCACCTGTAGGTCGGAGTCCAGTGCCCCCTGGCGGCGCGCGCGCACGGCGAGGCCCGACGGCTGTGACTCAGGGGTGGCGGGACTGGGGTTCCGTCGTGGGCCGAGCCACCGCGCAATTAATTACCAGCTGCTGGGAATCCTTGTCGCCTGCTCTCGGTGACTCACCGGGCAGCCAGGCTCATCCGCCGAGCGCGGGGGCCTCGGTTTCCAAAACGAATTCTTTCTGGGGAGCGCGGCCGCTCCGGGAGGGGCTCCCCGCCCCCGTGTCCAGGGACGCCCGCAGACTCAGAGGGGGGACAGCGCCGGATGGGGCGGGGGCCCGGAGCAGGAGGGGAGCGCGGTGCGGGTTCCCGTACCCGCCCCGACTCGGGTCTCTGAGCGCCCCCCCACCCCCGCCCCCGGCCCCGCGCGCTCAAGGCCCTCCTGGGTCCACGAGTGAGTGACACGAGGGTTAGGTCTGACTTGCCGCGCTGAGCTCAGCCCGGCCGCGAGCCCGCAGGGGGGCGCCCCGCTCCCCGAGAGGCCACCTCGTGCTCGGTGGGGGTCCAAGGCGGGTCGCCGGGAAGGGGCGCCCCGAGATCTCCGTGGCCGCGCGCTGCCCACGGGGGCGCCGCTGCTCCGGAGGGGACGCGCGGAGGAGGAGCGGGAAGCGGGTCGCGGCGGGCGGGCGCGCCCAGCCGCCCCCGCAGGGCCCCAACTTCCCGCCCCCGGCGGTCTCCGGAGCGGCCTTGGCGCAGCGGGCGCGGGGCGCCGGGGGGGAGCCTCCGGAGGGGCCTTGGGGTGCGCCCCGCGCCCTGCCTCGGGGGACCAGGGAGTGTTTCTCGCAAAGCAACAGGGAGGGAACGGGCGCGGGGAAATGCGACGCGCTCTCGGCGCCCCATCCCTCGCGCCCGCTGCGGTGGGGGGACCCCCTCCGCGCCAGGCCCGCGCCGCCCGGCAGACCCCACCCCGCAGGAGGCGGTGCCGGGCCGCGGCTCAGACACGCGCCGGCGCCAGGTGCCGGCCCCGGGGGAGCCGCGTGAGCCCCCCGCCCCGCCTGCCCCCGCGCGATCCCGCCTCCCTCGCCCGGACGCGGGCGTCTCCAGCTCCCGGCCCCGCGTGGCTGCACGCGCTCGCGGGGCGCGTGTCCAGAGGGACCCCCGCCGCCGTCCCCACCCCGCGCCGGAACCTGCAGCCGGCCCCGCCCCGCGGCCCCTCGGCCCCCGGACACCGGCCTCGCGCCGCCTCCCCGCCGCACAGGCGCCCCGCCCCGGCCCGCTCGGCGTGCGCCCTGCACCTCGCCGGGCTGCAGTGGGAGCCGCCGCGGCCGCCTCGCCAGCTGGCGGCGGACCAAGCGGGAGGTGGCGCGCCCGGGAGGCTGCGGGAGGCGGAGGCGGCGGGCGGAGAGGCCGGGCCTGGCGTCGCCGGCCCCCGCCCCCCGCGGGGCTGCCACGCGCGCGCGCGCACGCACACACACCCGGACACACGGGCGCACACACGCGGGCACACCCGCGCGCACACCCGCGCACACACACCCGCGGGCTCCCTCCGGCGCGCACGCACGCGGCGCCCCGGGCCGAGCCGCGCCGCGGCCGCCTCCCCGGACGCCCGGACGCCGGAGGGCCCCGATCCCCGCGCGGCTCATGCGCCCGCGCCCGGCCCGCAGCCCGGCGAGGCCCGCGGGACCCCTCCCGCCGCCGCCGCCGCCGCCGCCGCGCCCGCCGCCCCCGGAGGGGCGCGCTGGCCGCCCGCCGCCGCGCGGACCCCCGGCCGCCCCCGAGGCCGCCGCGCCGCGCGCCCCGCTCCCGCCCCCGCGCCTCGGGGGCTGAGCCCCGCAAACTTCGCCGCCGCGCCGCCCGCGCCCCGCGGGGACCCCGCCGCCGCGGCCCGCGCCGCCCGCCCGGCGCCCTCCCCGGAGACGCCGCCACTTCGCAAACTTTTCCGGCCGCGGCCCTCGCGGGGGGCCCCGGGGCGGCCGGTCCCGCGGGGCGCCCCGCGCCGCCGGCCGCTCGCTGAGCGCCCGCGGGCCGCGCGCCCCGCTCCCGCCCCTGCCGCGCCGGCGGGAGCGGGGCGCGGGGCGCGGGGCGCGCGGGGGGGCGCGGGGCGGCGCGGCGCGGCGGCCGCGCATGGCCCAGCGCGCCGGCCCGGGCTGCCTCGGCCGGCTCCGGCGCGGGGTCGCGCGGCTCCCGGCCGCCTGGGCGCGGCGCTCCGGCCGCCTCCTGTGCCTGGCCGCGTCCTCGGCCGAGCGCGGGCCCGCGCCGCCCCGCGGTGGCGGCGGCGGCCCCGGCGGCCCCGGCGGCCCCGGCGCGGGGGGCCCCCCCCAGCCCGCCCGCCCCCCGCCTCCCCGCCGCCGCCGCTTACAACTTGGAGGCGGCGGCGGAGGAGGCGGCGGCGGCGGCCGCCGGGCGCTGCAGTGGGACGCGCGCGGCTGCGAGCCTGCGGGACATGCCCCCCGCGCCGGCTCCTTGCTGGCGGCCATGAAGAGGCAGAACGTGCGGACTCTGTCCCTCATCGTCTGCACCTTCACCTACCTGCTGGTGGGCGCCGCGGTCTTCGACGCCCTCGAGTCGGACCACGAGATGCGCGAGGAGGAGAAACTCAAAGCCGAGGAGACCCGGATCAAGGGGAAGTACAACATCAGCGGCGAGGACTACCGGCAGCTGGAGCTGGTCATCCTGCAGTCCGAGCCGCACCGCGCCGGCGTCCAGTGGAAATTCGCCGGCTCCTTCTACTTTGCCATCACGGTCATCACCACCATCGGTAGGCACCGCGCGCGCCCCGGGCAGGGGTCCGGGCGGCGGCCGAGCGCGCGCGCGCAGGGCTGGGCGCGGGGCTGGGCGCGGGGCTGGGCGCGGGGCTGGGCGCGGGGCCGCGGCCCGGGGCCCCCTCCCGCGGCGCGCGCCCGCCCCCCCGCCCGCCTCCCGCGACCCCCGCGCCGCCCCGGCCCCGGCCGGCCGGGCCCCGCCTGGTGCTCCGCGCCCGGGCGCCGGCGTCTGAGCCCGGCGCGAGCGTGCCGAGAGCCCGGAGCGCGGAGGCGCCACTTTCCCGGAGTGCGGAGCGCTAAGAATAATCCCCGCGCCGACACCCACCCACCCACCGCCCTGGCGCGCCGCCGGCTGGGCCGCACCGACCCCCCCGCCCCGCCCGCGCCCCCCGCACTCACACTTACTACCTCTCGGCGACTTTGGAGCGGGCTGGCCCGACCCCGGCGGCCCGGGGACCCCCGTCGCGGCGGCGGCCCGCACGCTGCCCCTCGCCAGCCTTCGCCCTGGCCGAGCCTGGACTGCAGCCTGCTCCTTCCTGGAGCTACGGAAATTCTGGAGCCGCTGTGCCAGCCCCGCCCCCCCGCCCCCCAGGGAGAGTTTGCCAGCCCGCCTTGGGGTAGGGGTAGCGACTGGTGGCCGCCCAGGGGGCAAGAGGAGCTGCGTGACCCCGCCGGGTGGGGTCAGACCTGTTTGCCCCGGCTGTCCAGAAATAAGGGGCTCAGCCCCATCCTGGGCACCGAGCCCCCCTGGGGCCCACTCCCGAGGGCCCTGCCTGTGCCCGGCCAGGGACCATCCTGGCAGCAGAGACCCTGGCGGGTGCCTGGCTGTGCCCCCATCCGGGTCAGGCGCACAGGGACGCAGGCCACCGTGAGACCTGTGGGATCAGCCCCAGCCGTGTGGCTGATGTCCAGTGAGCCAGTGCGAGCGTGTTGGGGCCTGTAGTGGGCAGCTTGTCCCAGCAGGGCCACGGCCATCTCCTTGCAAGGCCTGGCAGGGCGGGTATTGGGGGGGTGGTCTTCTCTCTCACCCCCCCCTCCCCTGTCTTGCTCTCCTTGGCCCCAGCGCAGGCCAGGCAGCCTCCTGCCCCTGCCTCGGTCCCCAGGGGCCTGCTCCCGTCCCCTTCGGTGGTCGGTCCCTTTGTCTGGGGAGCTCTGGTGCTGCAAACAGGCGCTCGCCCGCCGTGCCATATGCAACAGGAAGCTCGGGCACAGGACGCTCTGTCTCCCGTCTCGGCTGAGAAGACTTTTTAGGGAGTCATCTTGTCGGAAATGTTTAATTCATCCGTGCGAGTTTGGCGTTTGGGGAAGGGAATGGTCCTTCTGTCGCTTCGTAACCAGCTTGGCTCCTCCTGGCTGTGCCCTGGGTCCAGCGGCCGCGATGGTGGGGTGGGGTGCTGGCCGTGGCCCCGGGCCGTGGTCTGAGGGCAGGAGAGTCGCTCCCACCCTAACGGGAGGCCCTGGGGAGGGGACAGACCTGGCCTCTTCGGTGGTGCCGTGCTGGCCTAGATTGGCGGGGAAGGCACCCTGGCGGACCCCACAGTCCAGCGGGTCATGGGGACTTCAGTGTCCCCCTGGCCTTGGGTGACCACACGTAGAGAGAATCGGAGTTAACACTCTCTGGGGTATGTGTGTGGGGTGGGGGGATCCCACTGACCTGGCAAACTAAATCACTGGGGCCAGTGCTGTTCTTCTGGGGGTTGTTTCTGGGTTCTGACCATGGGTGACCGCAGAGTGACCATGGGAAAGTGCTGGACGCAACTGCTTTTCTAGGGGCGTGGAAGAGGAGGCCCCACCCCACAGCATGACAGAGTCTGAGTCCAACCCCCTGAACGGCAGCGAGGGGAGTGCTGCCCCATGCCCAGCCTCAGTTTCCTCATTATAGAAGAAGTGTGGTATCGTTACGTTGGTCTGACTTGTGCCCTTCGTAGGTGTGAATTCGGGCTTCCGAATGGGGGCCGATCTCCGCCCCGGGAAGCCAAGGCACCGAGATGGACAGGCTACAAAGCCCCTTCCGAGTTAATTCTGTTTGTTTTCTTCTTTTTTAATATAAATGCAAATGAAGGTGCTCCCAGGCCTAGAACAAAAAGCAGTGGCCCCCTCTACCCCTCCCAGGAACTGTCTCCTCCCGGACAGGGCATTAATGAGTGGGCCCAGCTTCCCGGGCCTGGCGGTGTGTCTCACCCAGCCGTGCTCCCCGCCCGGGTCTGAGCGGCAGCAGGAGTGGGCGGGGCGCCGTCGGCTGCTAATGAAGGCGGCTTCTCCCGTGCACTTATTACCTGGCTCTGCGAGGCGGATTGGCAAAACACGCTAACACGCCGCTTGGCGTTGGGTTCCTGGCGGTGTCTTCGTGCAGGGCCCGCGTGGCAGCGGCTCCCAGCTGTGGGGTCCTGCGAGGGTGAGGCCGGTGGGGGTGCGAGTCCATCCCCCCCACTGGCCCTGCTCTGAGCTACCTGCAGCTACTTGGCTGCAAGTGCCGTGAGACCCGCTGGAGTCCTCAGGGCTCAGGAGAGGCTCCTGCACATGGGGTGGACGGGCTGCCCTCCTGCTCCGGAAGCCCGCCTGCCCTCCTCCTAAGCTGGTGGTGGGCAGGAAGGGGCCTGGGGTGCTCCATCTGAACTTTCCTGCAGGCCGACTGACTGTCCCTGTCAGCAGTGACGGCAGCCCAACAGCGGCCGATGTAGACCCCACGTTGGGGCTGCCTGAGCTGCTTCTCGGGACCCGAGAGCCCCCAGACTCCTTCTTGGGTTTTGAACCTTTGGGGGACAGAAACCGTGCTTACTGGCACATGGGGGGGCCGGGTGGGCAGGACAGAGGGGGCTTTCCCCTCTGCCTTTCCCCCTTCCCAGGCGCAGTGTAGGCAGTGGGCCCGGCCCAAAGCCGGGTGGCCACCTTTAGAGCCCAGGAGCTGGCGGGGGCAGGGCCCTTGCAGTTTTCTTGTTCCAGACCCCCGGCGGCACCCCCTCCCGCCCCTGAAGCCCAGGAGGACCCTCCTCTCCGCCTGCGTAGAAGCTGGACATTTTCCCAGGTGGAAAGCTTTCTCCTTTCTTCCTGGCAGGCCCTGGTGTCATGCTGGGCGCCTGGTTTGCACTCTGACTGTGCCCCCGCCCCAGGCCTCTGCGGCTCTGGAGATGACAAGATAAAGCCGGGCCTGGAGCGGCGGCAGCCCAGCCGTGTCCCAGCCTGGCCCAGGTAGCTGCCTAGTGCAATGGCCCCTTGCACCTGTGACACGGCCACCCACTTCACAGGTCCTCTTGGTCCGCCTGAGCCCCGGCAGCTCTCTCTGTCCCCAGCCACCGCGTCCCACTTAGCTGCAGCCCTGGGACCTGGGGCTCTGCCCAGGTCGAACTGTCGCCCCCCCGGCCCTGTGGCTCCCGGCCTCCACGGCAGATGGCCGAGTGGACCCAAGTGGCCCAGCCACTGAGTCGGGGGCAGCGCCAACCCCTTCAATGGGGCCATGGTGCCCGCCACACTGCCCTCTCCCAGAGACAGGGGCTGGCAGGGACTGTCCCAGGAGCCAGGCCCAGCCCTGTGGAATATTCCATCTGGTGGTTCTACTCCTCCCGCAGGCCGGGTGTCCTGGCGGCTGCAGGCGTGTGCAGGGCATGTGGTGCTCCCCTCCCCCAGGCCTGGCCTGGCATTGCCCCAGGACCACACGGCTGACCCCCAGCCACAGGGACTCTCGCAGGGGCCTGGGTGGCGGCACTGCACGGAGGAGCCGGCAGCATGGCTGCATCTGTACCCACACACCTGTGCCCCGGGTCACCTCTACATGTGCCCACACACCTGGGTTCACTCCTTACTCCCACACCTGCCTCAGCCTCACTGACCACCCCCTGCACCGCCTCACACTCCCATTGACACAGTTCTCATGCGAACTCAGCTCTCTGTGCCCCTTCGATGCACCTCCCCACCCACCAACCCCACTTGGCTGTATACCCGCCCATCCATTCATCCGCCCATCATGCACTCAGCACCCACCCACCCACCGCACCCACCGCACCCACCCATCCTTCCCTCCATCTGCCCACCCACACGCTCACCTTTCCATGCATGCATGCATGCATCCATCCATCCACTCACCCATTCATGTACTCACCCCACCCATTCATACACGCACCCACCCACCATCCACCCCCTCCATCCATCTCTCCATCTGCCCACCCACTTACCCATGCATGCACTCATCCCTCCCTCTGTCCGTCCTTCTGTCCAGCCGTCCCTTCATACATGCGTCCATCTAGCCATCCACTCGCCCACCCACCTGCCCGCCACTCCTGCCTCCTCCCTCCAGTGTCCATCCCTGCCCTGTCCCTCTGTCCCCCCTGCACCCCCTCCAGTGTCCATCCTGTCCTCTCTATCCCCCTCCTCTGAGTGCTCCCTCCCTCCCTGTCCATCACCCCCCACCTCCGCTCTGCCATGTCCAGCCATGGTGCCATGAGCTGTGACAGGTGCACCGTGCCCCTCGCCACCCTCAGTAGGATCAGTGCCTCCCTGAGGGGACCGTGAGGTGCCCCAGCCTCACCTCTGGCTCCCGATGTTCACTTGGGCTGTCCAGTGTTCTCCCAGAGAAGAGGTGGAGGCTCCCGGTGGCCCCCGAGTGTGTCTCATTACCCGACTGATGAAGAGATGCCGTGGTGCCATGGGGGGGGGGCAGCGGTGGGCCCCTATGGGAAGGCCACCATGGCCTCTCTCCAGGGGTGGACGGTCTCCGGATGCCTCCCCGGGAAATGCCAGAAGTTCTCTCCCCTGGAGGCCCAGCCCGGAGAGGAGAGTGAAATCAGCATGGGTGCTTGTCCTGGGGCAGAAGGGCTGAGGGTAGTGACAGGCGGTGCTGCCCTGGGCCCGCTCTGAGTGGACAGCAGCTGCTTCGCGGAGAGCTCGCCCTGCCTCCCGCCCCAGGCTCCTCTAGCAGAGTGGTCTTTTTTTTAAAAATTTTTATTTTTATTAGTGAAACACCATGAGGTACAGTGGTAGACTTACACATTTTTTGCGCTTG